AATCTGGGCCTCTGGGAATCAAGATTTAAGGAGCAAAGATGAGAGGTCAGAAGGTCAAGTCTCCTGAGATAGAAGTGGGGCAGGTAGGGTTGGGTCTGGGATGGAGGGGGGGAAGGGGAAGGGGAGAGGGATGGATGTCTGGGTTTGGAGGCGATGGGATCCAGGGCTCTCTCTCATGGCTTCTCTCCAGGCCCCAATCCCAAAACACTGAAATGTGCTGGTGGTGGGAGAAGAAGAAGAGAATCGTACAAATAAAATCTGATCTGGGCCTATGGCAGGGTCCCTCAGGCCACCCTCCCTCTGGAGGCCTACAGGATCCCAATGGATCTGGGCAGATTCTGAAGGATCCTGGGAGATCTAGCTAGGAGGGGCAGGGCTGGGCAGGCCTCCCCCATCGGAAGGGAGCGGGTAGTCTCCGGTCAGATTCCACCTTTCTCCCCTGGAGTCGGTGTCCATGTGTCCAGCTCCCAGCCCCAGGCTCAGCCCTAGGTCTGCTCACCGGTAGGGGAGGAAATGACTGATTCCTCCCCCCACCGAAAGCCCCGGGGACCCAGGCCCACGGTGCTCCCCCCCTTCTGCTCCCCTCCCAAGGGCTTAAGGTAGGAGCTGTCCCTGAGACACACGGACACCCACGGAGACACATGGACAGACTCGGAGACACCGGGGAGACATATGGGCCCATGGGCGGACACACACGGACACACACGCAGACACACAGCAACACACACAAATGCAGACAAACACACACGGACACAGCAACAAGCAAACACATTAGGGCGCACGGATCCACAGATCCACGGGAGCCCACACTGTCACACAAGCACACCGGGGCACGGGCACACCTGCACCCGGGCACGCCGGGGCACACGACCCAGCCACGGACCCCACCGACCCCCGGCACCCCCGGGCACACGCGCGCACACAGACACACCCGGACACCCAGACCCGGGCGCCGCAGCGGCGCGGACACACGCGCGCACACACACAAGCCACATCGCACGCATCCTACATCCACATCGCCCATCACCCATCACACACGCTCCCGGCCCCCGCTCTCCCCACCCCGGGCCCCGAGCTCACCTCCGGGGGGGCCCGGCCCCGGCCCCGGCCCGGTCCCGGGCTCTGGCTCTGGCTCCGGCCGCCGCCGCCTCGGTCCGCGCCATGGCGGGGGGGAGGGGAGGGGAGGGGACGGAGAGGGAAGGGGGATGGGGACGGAGGAGGGAGGGAGGGAGGGAGGGAAGGAGGGAGGGGGGCCGGGGCCGGGAGGGCTGGGGGGAGGGGGCGGGGGGGGCGCGGTACAGCCGAAGCTCGGCGCGCGGCTCCTCCCTCCGCACAGCGCGGGGCGCGGGCGCCCGATCTGCAAAGGGGGGGAGGGGAGCGGAAGGGAGGGGCGAGGGGGCGGGGAGGCGGGCGCGCCTGGGTCCCTCCCCTGCTCCCGGGTCCGGGAGCGAGAGCACCGTGGACCCCTTCCCACCGAGGCCCCCAGCCTAGACGCAGCGCCCCCAACCATGGGGGTCGGGCTTTGGCCCCCACTTCTCCGCGCCTGCCCCCCACACCCCCGGCCGCAGAGGGAGGGGCCATGCCAGGTCTGGGACCCTCGGATGCCAAGGTCCCCAGGTCCCCTGCCTAAGGGGACTAGATGGACTCATGTGGGGGCGAGATTATGCTGCAGGAGGAGGAGAAGGGTCCCCGTGAAACTGGAAGAGGGGGAAGAGTGAAAAGTAAGAGATTGTGATAGAAATGGAAAGGGAAGGCCGGAGGAAGAGCCAGGGAGGCATGTAGACAGAGACAGAGAAACAAGGGGACCCAGACAGGACCTGGAAGGCAGACAGAGTCAGAGACAGGGAACATCTGTGCAGAAACTCAGGACACAAGAGACAGCCATGGCTGCTGGACCTTGCTCATAGTAGGTGCTCAATAATTATGTCCTTAGCCATGGCAGATGAAGACAGACATGGGATCCAGGGATAGGACACCTCGTTGCTGGGGGAGGTTAGTTTCTATCTTTGGTGGAAGAGGGCCTTCTCTGCCCCCGTTTCTATCCTTGTGGTCTGCCTCCCCCATCCACCTGGCCTAGCCCCAGCCCTACACTCCTCCTTTTTTCCATACCCCAACCTTTTCTCTGTCTACCAATCAGGCCTTCTGATTGGTCTATTTATGATTTTATGATTCAGTTCTCTCTTGAACACCCCCAAGAAGACCCCCACCTGGACTGAGTCTAAAAAGGATGGGATAGCTGTGGATAAGCAAAACCTGGAAAGCCAGGACGAGGAGTTTGGTTAGGCAGAGGGGTGAGAAAGGGAGGAGGGAGGTATAATTAGAACAGACTTCAACCCACTCATCCTTTCCAAGGCCTTTCTGCAATCCTTCAGACCCAGCCTGCTTCTCAGCATCCCTGATCTCCCAAAAGCCTTTCACAACATCCTCTCCATCTCCCATTTCATCTGGTTTCTCCACAAGTCCGTTAGTCCAAAACACCTGTGATAGAATCACAGGATTTGGAGCTGGAAGGGACTTTAGCAATGATAGGAACATACTTTTAAGCCAGAAGGGAGCTAGGTCATCTAGGTCAACCTTCCATTTAACTGAGGTAGGAGCTCAGGGTCAAAGAGGGAAAGCGATTCCACCACACCCTCCCAGTGGCTCCTCTGATCCTTTAGTCTAGCAACTTCCAGTTTTGCCCTATACTGGCCATTCCTGGTTGAATAGAAGCCTTTTCAATGCCTTCTCCAACTGGACCTTCTAGCATTCTTCAGGCCGAACCCCACTCTGCTCAACCTAGATTGGACAAAAGCCTCTGAAATTTCCACTCTGATTGGTTATTCTACAATGCAGATGGCCCTGTCCAGTTCAGGTCCCCTTCCTACACCCATCTCTAATTGAACCTCTAGCATTGAAGGGGACAGGTTGCTCTGCCAAGGTCTCTTGGGGGCAAAGAAATCAAACCACAATGTTTGTTCCTCCTCTGTCTCATCAGATTTTTCTTCTTTGGGCAGGGCAGGGGCTTTATAATTCCTGTGTGGTATTTATTACTAATTAACTCATGGAAACCTCCTCACTCTGGAGGCCCTGACCCCTTCTATCTCTGGGGCTTGGAGTCTCTCACTCCCCCGTCCCTCATCACAACAAAGCAGAGAGAGAATGTGGAGAATCACAGAATGTTCAAACTGGGAACTTGAGATGCCTCATTTCCAGCGGCCCATTTTGGGGTCCAGGAAGCTGAGACCCAGTGAATGAAGAGCCAGTGAGTCTTGAAGAGTCCACCCAGTGGTCAGTAAAGGTTTCAGCTGAATTGGAGGGGAGGTTGACAGTGCTACCCAGACCACCAGACTTCCATACTATGGAGAAAGCCCTGGCACTAACATCTCCATTCTAATCTCTCTCATTCTTTGCTGTAGGCTGTGGGGATGAGATGGGAGAGGAAGGGAAAAGGGTTCAGGGACCTCCTCTCGAAGGCGGAAAGGAAAGGACCAGCCTAGAAACTACTGCCTCTCCACTGTGGAGCCTGGGAATCAATGGTGGATGGGGTGGCTGGGCCCCAAGGTCACTATGTCATTGTTACCATGGCAACGGCCACCACTTCCCTTCAAGTAACCTGGGAATGAAGGAGGAAGAGGAGGAGGAGGGGCTTTCCTGGCCCTAGAGACCAGGACTCAGAGAAGGGAAACACAGGGGTCCTTTTGCTCTCTCTTTCCCCAACTGTGGCTTTCCAGGCCCCTTTCTCATGGGGTCCACTTGGACCCCAGATCCTCCTTTCAGACAGGGTTGGTGGGTAATCTTTGAAGATCAATCCCTCCCTCTCCCTCTTATTCCCCACTCTCTGAAGCAATTACATTAAATTGTTTGGTGACTTTACTGCTTTAGTCTCCTCCTGCTGCCACCTCCTCTTTCGCATGCTAATTCCCAGATTGACAAGCCCCTGCTGTCTGGTGGGCGGGTGCTTCCTCTCTGCCTGCCCCCCACCCCCAAGTGTGAGGAATAACAGAGGTCATAGGAACCCTCTATACCAAGAGAGGAAGGAAGAAGCCCCAGGTATGTGAGGTAGGAATGGGGGACACCTTTGGAGGGGAATGGGGAGAGCTCTGCTTGACTCCAGTGATCAAGAATTGGGGGCTCTGCTTCCAGTGATTGGGGACAGGAAGGTTTATAGGGGACCCCCACAACCCTAACAGAAACAGGAAATTAATTGGGGAGCCCCTTTCTTGCCCCCTGGGCCCTGGGGTGGAGTCCTCTCATCTGGAGGTTGGAGACACAGTTCTCTGGCCTGGAGACCTAGGGATGGTAACTGGTTGCCATGGAAACATGGCCTCAGCCTGAGCAGAAGAAACATCTGCTCTGGACCAGGGCACACCTTGCTCTCTGAGGGGGGTGGGGCACAGGCCTGGCTGGTGCTTTCTTGTATCCAGGTTCTTCTTGTCTCCCTTCTTGAGACCCCCCCCAACCCTACTCCCCCCAACATACAATATAGTGGAGGCATGAAAGGCGGGGATAAGAACTGACCCCAACACCAAGGAGAATGGTTAGACCCAAAGGAAGAACTTCCATGTGGCTATCCTTCCTTTCTCAAACAGCCAATTTTGAATCTCGTTAAATATCTCCTCAAGATCTTTCCCTTCCTTGAGGGAAAAGGAAAGGTTTAAAATGACTGGTAAGCTCTTCCAAGAATATAGGGACTACCTGTGCCCTTCTCTCACCAAGATGGACGTCTGGCTCCTACAGCTTCCTTCTCTGTGGAACCCAGGCATTCTGCCCCTTAGTTCTCCCTACCAGGAGAGACGCTTCCTGTACCCCTGCCCCCGGCCCTTCTAGGGACCCAGGCGTCCCATCATTCAGCCCTCTACCCTTTCAGGGAACCTGGTATCCTTTCCCTAAGCCTCTCCAGAGTGGGCCACGGATGGCCTGCATGCCACCTCCCACTTCTGTGATGGCTGACTGCCCTCTGCTGACCACATGGAGTCCTGCAGAGGCTGCATGGGTGGAGTCGTAACCACTAGGGTCAGTCCAGGTTTCACTAGTTTATTTTGTCAGAGGGTATGTAGTTTCCCAGCACCAAGGTGTCCTGTCTCCTGATCCTTGGACATCTCCATGCCCCCAGCTAACGGAAGAAGGACAATTTCTCCTGAAGCCAAGCCTCTGTCAGGTCATCTGTGGTGCGGATCTCAAACACCTAGTGAGAGAGAGAGAGAGAGAATGGATTGGGGATTGGGAAATATGTCAGAGACCCAGGCAGCCAGAGAAGAGACAGGGGAGCAAGCTATCTGTCTTTAAAGTACCCTCAGGTAGAAGAAGAGTTACCTTTGTTCTCTGGCCCCAGCAGGAAGAGGTCAAAAGGAAACCTTCTGAACCCTCTAAAACTGCCTCAAGAAGTAGTAGTGAGTCACCTGCTTTGGGCCTTCAAGCTAAGCTGGACGACCATTTGGCTAGGCTAATGAGGTCTCTGAAGGTCTGAGATTCCAGGGTTCCCAAAGGCCCTCCAAAGCCTGCCCTCCTCAGGACCCAGTTGGTCAAACCCTGTGGATACCACCCCCCTCCCCAGCCCCTTCAGGAACTCAAGGCTCCTGACCTTGGTGAGCTCAGCGGTTTGTACCAGTCGGTTTTTGCTTCCGGCATACATCATCTGCTGTTCTGGTTTACAGCCTGGTAGGGGTGGAAACCGTGGGGTTAGTGGGAAGAAGGGATGTGGCTGGGTAAGAAGAAGGTATAAGGTATTACTAGGGAGAGGGCCCCCAGGGCAGGACTATAAGGATCAGGACCCAAGTTGGCCATGAATTAGGGGGAGGGATTGGTGGATTGGTAGGTTCAGTGCTGGGGTCCTGCATGCTCCCCAAGACTGGGTATGGGGATCAGGTGAGGAGGTCTTACCTACGGGGCTGGAGAAGATGAAGCAGAGTGGATAGGAGACCCGACCATCTTCATGGACCCATTTGTAGCTGTAAACTATGAACCTAAGGGTAGGGAAAATCTTGAGACAGAGCTCTGAAGGTGGAGCCTGAACCCCTCAGCACCTCAATCTTCTTGTTCCTTTCCCATGCCTGATCCACCCCTCAAAACTGGTTTCTTCCAAGGTAGTGGTGGGGTAACAGTGGCTAGCTCCTGGGGATACCTGGGCTGTCTCTCAGGCAGCTCATTCCTCAGTTCCTCAGGTGAAATATTCTATGGATAGCAAGGAAGATAGAAGTAAATTGGTGGAAGAGTGGGGTTCCCTCCATGGCCCCAGCCCCAGGCCTTCCCCCATCACACCCTCCACCTGTCACCTGAAATTCTTCCTCCATCACCACTAGTTGCCGGTCTTTGTCCACTTTCACTGGGGGAATACCAGGGGAGGGACAGAGAAACAGTTAGACTCCCCACCTCCCCAGACCCCCAAGCCCCTTACAGGCTCCTTTCTCCAATTTTGTGCAGGGAAGGCTACCCCTGAATTCCTCCTTTCTTCTCCATAGGGAGGCTGGGAGACCTGGAATTAAAATCCCCCAGGGTAGGGGGACCACTCACTGATGATGGCCCCGTTGGTTGTCTCTTTCCGGAAGCGGAACTTTCGGAGTTTCTCCTTCAGCTCTGGGTCCACCTCACAGACCACCAAAGAGTCTGCCTGCATTCAGAACAAACACTAGTGAGGGAAGCTGGGGCGCCAGGTGGGAGGGAGGCAGCTGGTGACCAATAGTTCTTCTTGCTATCCCAGGGCCTAGAGGGTACCCTGTGGACTTTTACCAGGGGGTTCCTTTCTCCATCTACTCATTGAGGACAAGGTGGCAACCCTGGGGAGGAACCAGGAATTGGACCCTCTGAGGTTTCCAGGGTGCTAAATGGAATTCAGAAATCCAGAGAAAGAAAGGAGAGAGGGAAGAGACTGAACCCCAAACCTTTAGGAGTCCTTCTTCCTGCCTATGGGCCTCAGGAGTGGGAAGAAGGCAAGCGTAGGGCTCATGGCTTGATCTCTGTCTCCCTTGGCTGCCTCATCCCTCATCCCATACTTTTATTGCCCCCAGCCTCCCTGCAATGTCCCAGATTAGCTCCTGGTTTTCTGTAATCTAAGAAGTCCTTCCCTTCTCTAGCCTTCCTGTCTGTCTTCCTTCATAACCCCCCCCACATCCCTTTCCTTCTCCTCATCTGCCTCTCCAATCTCTCAGCCCTGTCCAGAATGCTCCCTCTCTCTCTCTCCCCTCCTCTCTCTCTCTCTCTCTCTCTCTCTCTCTCTCTCTCTCTCCTCTCTCTCTCTCTCTCTCTCTCCTTCCTTGCCTACCCTATCTTCTTTGGCCTCTTGTATTTCTCCTCAACCCCTCTGTCCCCCTCCTGGTCTCCCTGGCTCCCCACTCCTTTCCTTTTCCCCATCTCTGCCTCCCCTTTCTGTTTCTCCAGTCCCTTGGCCCTGTCCAGAGTTCTAGAGCTCTCTTCTGCCTCCCCTCCACCAACCCTGTCTCCCTCTATGTCCTCCTTGTCTGTCCCCTTCACTATCTTTGGCCTCTTCTATTTCTCCCCAGCCCCATAGCTCTATCCCAATTTCTGTCTCCTTAGTCCCCCAGTCCTGTCTTTCCCTCACCCCTGTCCCCAGGCCTTCTCAGACCTTCCCCTCCCCATCTTGTTCCCCCTACCCCCATATACTCTGACCATTGCTCCCAAGGATGTCTCCCTTGGGCTGATTCCTGTCTTCTGGGGAGGGGGGAAGGTCTGCTCTGATACCACATCCTGTTTATATCAGTCCTGGGGTAACTGTTGCCTAAGCCCCTCCTCTTCCCTTAAGCCCTGTCATACTTCCTCTTCCCCTACTTTCTCCCCACCTCCAAACTTCTACACTCATCTTCAGGCCCCCAATGCCCTATCTGTTCTGACCTCCTCCAGGAAGGCCTCCCAGATCCATCGACTCTTCCAGCCTGTAAATCAAAGGGTTCTTAACTTGGAGTAATGGACAGGGGGTCTGGGAACTTGGATGGAAAAAAAAATTACACCTTTATTTCAATATAATTACTTTTCTTTTAATCCTATTTCATTTTATAATTTAAAAACATGATTCTGAGCAGGGGCCTAGGACATACACAAAATGTGAAGAAGTCCTGTTCTAGATGCTCTCTGGAACAGAATTCTAGAGTTAAGAAGGGACCTTGGACTTCAACTTTCTCAGTCTACATAAAGGGAAACTAAAGGCCTGAGAAATTTAGCCCGGGTCCTACAGTAAGTCAAAGGCAGAGTTGTCATTAGAATTTGGCCAATTACTCTGTACAAGTACATTAGGAACACTTGCTGTCCACCCCCTCCCCACTTCCTTCACCTTGTCTCCTATTTCTTGAAACACACACTTGAATTCTGCTTCCTTTCCTCCAATATCCCTGCGTCCTAAAAAGGATGTTTAAATTAAGAGATGCTTCTAAGTTAGGGAGGGAGGGAAGGCTGGGGAAAGAAGCCGCTCTATAGAGAGCTGATGGAAGAAGGTATAGATATGGGACAAGGCACTGGGAGGGCTACAAAGGGCTTTATGGGTATGGGAAGGAGAAGGGGTCTGGGGAAAAAGGATACAGAGTGCAGGTGTTATGTGGATAAGAACTAGTTTAAGGGGAAGATGGAAAGATGGACAATGACGCAGAGGTTTTAAGGAAGGAGTATTTAAAAGAAGAAGATTTGGATATTGGGTAGTGTGGAGAGGATATAGGAGGAGAAGAAAATGTATGGGATGATGAGAGGGGATTTGGGATGGAAAAGAATTCAAGGAGATTCTCAGGAGAAGATCTGAGGCTCAGACTTACAGACAGAAATTTGGACAGAGGTATAGGGAGAAGGGACTGAGAATTTTAGAAGGAGAAGAGTTTATGAGGGAGAAGAGTTTTGGAAGGAAGGAGAATTGGGGAGAGGTTTGAGGGAGAGAGTGTGGAGAGGAGATTTGAGGATGGAGTTTGGAGGAGATGTCGGAGGAAGGAATTTCTGGGAGCTGGATGTAGGGAATGAGGGTTTGGAAGGAAGGTCTTGAGGAGAGGAGGGCTTGGAGAGATTTTTGAGGGGAGGTTTAGAGGGAGAGAATTGTAGGCTGGAGTCTGGAAGGGAGGGGATTTATGGAAAAGGAGTTTGGAGAAAGAAGTTATGGAGGAAGGGGGGTTGGAAAGGGAAGGGGGAACAGATGAGGGGCAAGGATTTTAGAGGAGAGGGATGTAGGGGAGATTCGGGGGATTTAGGAGATGAGGAGGAAGGAGGAATGACCGTGATGAGGCTGAAAGGATTTAGGGGAGGAGATAAGAGGGGGAGATGTATGGGAGCATTTGGGAAGAGAAGGAATGAAAAGACAAGAGAGATAGAGAAGTGGGGAGGGGTATGAGACCGAGGACTAGACGGGGTGTAGAGGGATTTGGGAAAAAGGGGTTGAGGGCTTAAGGAAGGGATTATAAAATCATTGATTTGTTCCTAGAAGTGACCTCAGAGGTCCAAAGGTTTCATTTTACTGATGAGGAAACGGAAACCCAGAGGAGTGAAGTGATTTCGTTACAGCGCGAGAGTGACAGAACTGGGAAGAGATGTGGGGGGCGAGGGGGCCCCGGCTGAAGAGGGAGGGTCTGTAAGGGAAGGGGGCCGGCTGAAGGGGGAGGGGTCTATGCCGAGGAGGGAGACATGCTAAAAGGGGAGGAAACATGAGGGGAGGAGGACCTAATAAAGGGTAAGGGGATACTGGAGGGAGGAGAGTCCAGAAGATGGGATGTGGGGTACAGAGCCGGCGAAGGAAGTGTCTATCTGAAGCCACCTCCTGCAGGGCGGAGGCCAGAAGCCCAGGACAGCCCGGCCCGTTGGCATGGCAACGCTCCAGACAGCGCGGTCCTCCCTCCCTCCCTCCTTCTTCTTCCCCCAATCCTCCGCCTCTCCCGGTCTCGGTCTGCCAATCATGCGACGTCCAGCCAATCCTAGTCCGGATTTGGGGGGCGGGCCCTTCCCAGCCGGCGCTTCTGCTAACCCGGTGGCGTTCCTCTCCTCACCCTCTCTTGGCTTCCGACCTCTGCAGCACCCATTGGCTAATGGGCTGTCCGTCCGCGGAGGGCTGTCCAATGAACTGGTGCGCCAGGCCGGAGGCGGTGATGAGGGCGGAGCGACGCCGAGAGCAGGGCGGAGAGGGAGGAGGGGTGACGCAGCGGCGCAGTGACGCAGCGTGGTGGCGGCGACGACGGCGGCAGCGGCGGCGACGGCGTCGGTCGGTGTGAGGAGAGAGGGAGGGAAGGCGGAGAGAGCGAGGCGAGTGAGGGCGGTGGTGGCGCGGGCCGGAGGCGGTAAGTCCTGGGTGACCTGAAGAGGCCTCTCCGCTTCGGGGGGCGGGCGGGAGGAAGGGAGGGACAGACGGACAGATACCCACCCTCCCCTCACCGCGGCGCAGCTCCGGAGAGGAGGGAGGGAGAGGCGCGAGGCCGCCCGGCCCCGCCCCCCCGCGCGCGTGCGCGGCGCTAGCTCGACCCCCCCCAGCCGCGCGGCCCCGCCTCTCGGGGACCCCGGCCGCCGGGCTGCGGGGCCAGACCCCGACCCCCAGAACGACCCCTCGGCCCTCCCCGTAGAGGCCCCCACTTCCCTAGAAGTCCTTTCAGCCTGTCCCCATTCCCCTTTCAGAGGATCCCGAAGGCCCCCCACTCCCCTCAGTGATCCCCCTCAGGTTGTCACTGGACCCCCTTCAGAACGTCCTACAGGCCCCCCACTCGTTTTAGTAATGCCCCTCAGCCTGTCCTTATTTCCCTTTTAGAGGGTCCTACAGGCCCCCCACTCGTTTTAGTAATGACTCTCAGCCTATTCTTATTCCCCCTTCAGAGGTTCCTACAAGCCTCCCACTCCCCTCAGTGATACCCCTCAGCTTGTCCTCCCACTCACCTTAGTAATGTCCCTGTTGTCCCTGTTCCCCCTTCAGAAGGTCCTGCAGAACCCCCATTCCCTTAGAGATATCCTTCAGCCTGCCCCCATTTCCCCTCTGGAGCGTCTTTTATCTTTCTTCAGAGTGCATCTTCTGTTCCCTTCTTCCATCAGGGGAACCCTAAAATTCTTCCCTCAGAGGGATGCCCTAACTACCATCATTTCCCTTCCTCTAGTCACCTTCCTTGCTCAGAGAATATCTACTGGTCCGTGGACCTTTCACAGCTCCTCAGGAGTCCCTTTTACCAGACTCTCCCTTCAGAGAGCTCCCCAGTCCTCCCTTGGTGTCAGTGTGCTTGTTCCTCTGCCTCCCCCCCCACCCCGCCAGTGCAGATGCCTGCTTCCCATTCTTCTTATGAGGACCTTTCCCAGCTCAGAGACATCATTCCCCCATCATCAATCCCCTAACTCTCCATCCCTGACAAACTCATTCCATATTGAGCATCCTTCACCCCAGAAGTCTTACAAAGACACTGCCACTCCCATACTGCTCTTTCCTAAGAGACTCAGAGATTGTGTCTTTACTTAGCTCCCTTTGTCCCAGGACAGCCCATTAGAGTGTCCATCTCTCCCTCCCAAAGCCCTTAACCTCTTCTCTGCTTCAGAACCTTTTGGCTTCCTTTCCTTGTGCTCCTGTCCGTCTACCCCTCAAGGTCAGGATTCCACCCCTGGTCTTGCCTCTCACTCCTCCTTCCTTGAATTCAGCAAACATTAGGCACTGACAATGGGCTTGGAGAGACCCTGGAGAAAGAGAGGAGAGATAGCTTTTAGCCTCAAGGAGCTTTCATTCTATTGGAGTGATAAAATGGGTACCCATGTTGGCACAGTCCAAGGAGGAGGGAATACATGCTTACAAGGAGGTGAAATCAAGGAAGGCTTCCTAGAAGAGAGGAGATAAGGCTAAATGGAAGACAAAGCTTCAGACATGGATATGAGGAAGGATGGCATTCTAGGCATGAGGAATAGCTGATGCAGGTACTGAGAGAAGGCAGATTCTGGAGTGAGTGAATTGGAGTATTAGGAAGTGATGTTGGAAAGGTAAATGGGAGCCAGATTATGGAGGGATTTCAGTGCCAACCTAAAGAGTCTATAATTTATTCTGGGGATACGGGACCCCAGGAAGGGTTTTTGGTCAGGGAAGTGGTCAGAACTAGGCTTTAAGATTGTTTTGGCAGCAATGTGGAAGATAGTTTGAAGGAAGAAGAGACTAGAAACAAGGAGTTTAATGAAGACTAAGTAGTCTAGGAAGGAATTTATAAAGGCCTGACTTAGGGGGGACAGAAAGGAAGGGAACTGAGGGATGTGGGGAGGTAAAGTTTTACCTCTATTTCCTTATCACTTCCCATCCCCCAGCAGATACCACTAGCCGTTTCTTCTTCCCATCTCTTCTGCCTCTGCTGGGTCTCCTAGAGAGGCCTCCCTTCAGATCAGGGACTCCCCCCTCCCCCAATATTTGGTAACTATATTTCAACATAATTGGTTTCCTTTGAATCCTATGTATTTTATTTTATCCATTTGATAACATCCACAGACTTTACCAGACATGACACAGAAAAAGATTTATGAACCTTCTGTGCTGTTCAACTCTCAGGTCTCCATCAGGTCTTCTTTCCTCACTCCACCCCTTCCCCTTACTATTTCCCAGGACTGAATTTCTCTTCATTCTTTCCTCTTCCCTTAAAATTATTCACCACTTCCATATCTTTGCCTTCCCTCATCACCTTGGTTTCTTAACCCATTGATTTCCGTTCTAAGCTTCATCCCTTTGGACTCCCACAACTTTTTGTAAAGGCCCTTCCTTGGTGTGGGTGCAGCTCTGTTCCCCTTTCTGTATATATACTCTCCCTCCTTAAAGTCTTTTTTTCTCAGATTTCTCCTTCCCTCCAACAGCCCCTCTCCAACACTTTAACAGGTCTTATTCTCTTCCGTGTTCTTTCCTCCTAGAACCATTAACTCTCTTTTTTCTCTGCCACACTATTCTGCCCATGGAAGCCAGGTGCTCCCTGCTTTTGGACAGAGGCATATCCTCTCTGCTCCCTTGTCCCCCTTTTCTTTTTATTATCCCTGTTGTTCAACTCCTGTCTGCAGAATAGGAGGATGTCGTCCTCTTCTCCTGCTTGGGAGTTAGGCCAGTGTAGGCCAAGTCAGGCAGACCCCTGGGCTTCCAGATTGGAAAGGGATTTGAGAGACCACCTAGTCCGGTGTAAGGATCCCCTCTACCACTTGTCTGACATGGACCGTCCAGCCCCTGCTTGAACATAGCACAGAATGAGGAGCTCCTGGCCTGATACTTCTCATGGTTGCTTTGCTTGAGCAGAAGCCTGCTTCCTTTTGTACTCCCGTCACTGGGCTCATATCTGCCTGAGGAAGCAAGCAAATCAGTTGGCTTCCATTTCTGTGTGATAGGCCTTCAGGTATTTAAAGACATCAATTAAGATATTGCCTGAATCTTCTCTCTGTGGGTCTAAACACCTCTTGTTTTTTTTCAGCCATTCCTCCTCTGAGATGATTTCTAGACTCTGGATCTATCCCAATCACTTTACCTTCCTTGCTAGTTCTCCAGTGTGACAGTGTCCTTGCCAAAATGTGCTATCCAGAAATGAACCCCAGAGTCTCTCTGCATTCTAACCCGGGCCGGTACTTTCCTTGACATCTATTACTGTATCCTAAACTTCTACCCTGCCACCTTTTCTCCAGAATTAGAGTCTTTCTCATCCTAGTGGGATAGAATCCTACTGGGAAGGAGGAGAGAGGGTCTTTTTCATCCCTTCCCCTGTCCTTTCCCCTCCTCACTGCCCAGCATCTGGAGCCTTTCTTCCTCATCCTGTCAGTTGTTTGTAGTTGGTTACTCATTCCACAGGCATTGGACTAGATGACCTTCCAACCAGTGATTTGTAATTAGGAACTACAGTAGGCAAGGTACCTAATTTCTTTAGGTTCTTTGTGTGCCCTGGGCTTACCTTCCTTCCCCTTTCTGTGCCTCATTTTCTTTCCCTCTCTCTGAAAGAATCCCTTCTGAACGTTCCTGTTGAACAGGGAGGCATGTATAGTGCTTAGAGCTCCCTAGCTAGTTGATTAGAAGTATGTCCGTGGGTCCTTTACAGCCTATGCAAATTGCTATTTCAGATAAGAAAGGTAGATGTCTTTTGCCTTCCTAAGGGGAGTGAATAGGAGAAAGACTATCCTTAGTAGTCATTGTACTATTTAGTTTGGCGGAAGACCCTGTCTTGCCAAGACCTCCATCAAGGTCCATTAGTCTGAGCCTATTGGTTGAACTGAGTAGAGCTGGAAATCTGAAGGTGATCAGTACATGGTTATCATTCGCTTGTTTTTCTGAACTGTAGAGGTAGATCATAACTCTTTCCTTCCCAACCATCCTTCAGTATCAGTGAGCAAAAGGGTTCCTAGGATATTCCCAGTTGAAAATCTAGATAGCCTCTGAGTTGGTTGGTTGGAAGGAAGAGGTCGTACTTCAAGTCATGAGAGCCTAGAAGTAAGACTGGAAGGGTCTTCAGGGGACTTCTAATCCAGCTGCCTCATTTTACAGATGGGGAGAGCCAGGAAGTTAAATGACTCATCCAAAGTCACACAGGTAACAGTAGTAGAGCTGGGGTCTGAACCTAGGTCTTTGGACTAAATCCAGCCCTCTTTTCACTACACCATGCCTCCCAACTTAACCTCTTTGACCCCGATTCCTTTCCTCTTAAATTGGGGAAATAATATCTGTAGTACAGCACAAGGCTGCTGTGAGATCAGAGTGAATGACAAGAATTGTTAACTGTGTGTTGGCTAACATGATTGATTGAATCATCATAGCATTTTCTCCAGACTTATAGAAGAGATAAATGAAGAGTCCGGTCTTGTTTTGGGAGTGGCGTTCACAGCCGGCATTCCTGGTGCTCAGACCTTTCTCTCCTTGCTCTTAGATTGAACTCAGTGATTTCTCAGACCATCTAGCTCTGACATTCTGTCAGTATCATCACTGAGGCTTGGAGTAGTGGCAGGAGTATAGTAAGATCTCTGTAGGTGGAATGAGATGGTTTTTTTTTTTAATTCTCAGATTTCTGTGCATTGGGGTCTTGCTGAGGTTGAGTTACATACAAAACAGTATCGAGCAGAGGTGTCAGACTTATGG